AATAAGTAAAGAAGAAAGTACTGAGTCTGTCATAAGCCCAGGAGTTGAGCCTGGTAGTTACTTGATTAATAATATATCTTTTCCCCTTTGATTTCATATTAATAAATTTGTTTTTAGAGTACTTTTGGTGTATTTATTTCTCCCACAGTATTTTACCTTTATTTCCGTCCAAGTGACTTGATACCAGAATTACCATACCCATGTGCATAGACCCTCGACCATGCTACCAAAAGAATGACCATGCTACCAAAAGAATGACCATGCTACCAAAAGAATGTCCATGCTACCAAAAGAATAGGTGACAGAACTGAGTAAGAGTAAGAACTAAGAGAAGTAAGTAAGATGAGGGTGGTGTAAAGGTGTGGGAAACACGCGCCCTCACACAGGGGCCAGAATTTCAGCACACTCCCCCAGAACACGAGGGGGTATTCCGTCTGGTCCATGCGCCTTACTAACACAAGGTAACTAAATTTACTAAAGAAGAAAGTACACTAACGTATGTAGAATATTTTGACTTATTAATATTTTTTTTATAATAAAATGTTCCTAATTTTCCTTGCTTTTTTGTCCGAACCAAATTTTCCCTCACATTTATTCCCTATGGTTTTTGGTGGAGGAAGGCAGAGAATAAAAACGATGCAGCAGGAAGATGATGCAGACACTGATATCCCTAGGAATAATTTTAAATATAAGGTGTGCAAGTATTTAAGACACCTAAATAACTTAACACTGAAATTCGTGAGAAGGGGTCACTGAAAATTTATAACAAAAGACACATACGAGTACATTGAACATACTGCAGCTAAAAATGCAGGGAGAGGAAGAGGAAGTCACTAGAAACGGTGGGGATACACTGAAAATGCATTCTGGGGAACTGTAAATTGCAAATACAAAAATTGTTATGAGGGTGGGGGGGACTGCAAATACAGGCAGGCGGGAAGAGTGGGATATATATATATATATATATATATATATATATATATATATATATATATATATATATATATATATATATATATATATATATATATATATATTTATTTATTTATTTATTTATTTATTTATTTATTTATTTATTTATTTATTTATTTATTTATTTATTTTTATTTTTTTTTATTTTTTATTTTATTTTTTTTAAGCAGAAGCTGAAAGTTCTTACTCACCATAAATGGTCTTCCGTTATCTTTATCTGTTCTCCATTAACCTTCCTTTCCCTGCTGCCTTCCTTCATTTGCTTCTCTCCCCAATCCATCTTCTTCGTGTCTTTCCATACACGTCTCTCGCCAGTAATCCCCAAATACACAGCAGCCGGAAATAAACCCGTGGGAACTCGCCGGTTTCTTGACTCCGTTGCTAGGGTAGACGTAGCAGCTGGTGACCCCCACTCCCTGAGCAGCTCGCTGATTGCTAGGATAATGTCTCATTGGAATGCGGATACGCAGTTGTAGGGGGAGAGATCCACTACAGGCTAATTCCTGTAAAAAAAAAATAATAATATAAAAAAATATTTAGGTGACTCCTGCCAATGCTTGGTATAGCATTTATTTTATATTTTATTTTTCTTTACATGATTTAGAAACGCAATAACAGAAAGTACAACATTGACACAGAAAATACCATTGCACATCAAAATATGGGTGTTTCTTGCGGGTAGCAAGCCAACGCCTTGAAACAATAAACTGAAACATACAGTGTATATGAATAGAAGTTAAATAATTGTTTCATTCCCATCTGCATTTTCAACAACCAATACAGATTTTCCAGTACTGTTTCCTATAAATACTATTGTATTGCAAAACTTTTGATAACTTTAAAATAAATTAAGTCGTTATTACAAAAGGTAAGAGGAGTGAGATAACTTAGGCCTCTCGTACGTCTACGGGAAAGGGGACGTGATTGCTGCCCGTATCATCATTGGGTATGACTTTGCTTGGGAGATTGGTATCCCCGCATCCCCTGAGCAATGCTTTTGTGCATTATGCAGAAGACCCGACAGCCGCACCCTTATCCACTATCTCCTAAGATGTCCCCACACACAACGCTTCCGTGACGCCTGCTGGGCCACCACTCCACGACCCCCTGACGGAGACACGATGATCCTCCCCATACTGGCCAGATATTTTGTAAATAATATTGATTATGTGTTAAAGGAATATCCTTCCTTCTTTAGGCTTTAGTAAGCCCCTTTATAATATTTATACTGTATATACTTGTCACACTTGCCAGATGCTTCTGGTGTCATTGTACAAGGGTACCTAGTGACAGCACTAGGATCCCGCTTCCTCTATCAAGGAATAAACAATTGAAATTGAAATTGAATTGATAACTTAGGTCATCAAATAAACAAACATAAACAACTACAGGTACACGCTTCACAACCCGTTAACTTGTGCATACAGTGCAGACATCTCGTTTTACACATACGCACCAGAGTTGGTAACTGCACTGCAATGGGATTCCCAGCATAATACTGCGCATCAGTGTTAATGATTTGGATCTTCCAGAAGTATTTAAGCAAGGACGTGTGGGAGTTTCCAGTAAGATGACTGACTTAGAAGGTTGAGATAAATCCTCAACTGCTTTAATCTGTTTGCTACTGATTTACTTAAAACGTTAAACGAAATGAGATCTTCATAAAAACGAAAAAAAAGCTGAAAATATTAAATATTTACCAAGATGACGAATAAGATTAACATCAGAGCTTTAATAAATAAATTTACAGTATATTTCACGAAATATGTTCATAAGACAGCATGTGGTCGCCCGTCTAAATATAACGCACAGCATTATCCTCCTGTACATACTAGGTAAAAATGTGAATTTAGCTTTGATAATGATAAAGATGTACTTATATAATTATATAGTTGTACCCTCTCTTAATTTTCAAATTATGAAATTCTCATATGCCCAGTCCTAAATTTAATTTCATATTGAATGGAAAGACACAAATGGACGCCAATCGGTTGCCAATATCATTCCCGCTGGTACGCACCAGTTGCTGGAAGTAAGCAAACAGGAATCAGAGTATCGTTTATTACTAAGTACGAATTTAGTGAAGCTGAGCTGGGTACGCATGACTCACAAGGTCGCGTGGGCTAACTTGTTTTCCGGCAGCATAAAGGTCAATAGTTCACATCTTACATTTTTTACTGAATTGGATTAAAAAATTTTGGGTCAATTTTGTAACATGGAATTTTGTTTAAAACAAAGATGGACGAACTGTACAAGAAATTAATAAATAAAATAGATGAGGCACTTTTTCGGATTTTTTTTTTTTTGGTGGGGGGGACATGGTGTTTGATCATACAATTTGAGTGTGTGGGTGAGTTTGAAGGTATGACCAGCGTGTTTGAAGAAGATTAAACAAGTTTTATATTTTCTCTTCCAACATGACGTTTGTCAAACATGTTGGATAGTGTGAGGCAATGTATGATCACATACTCAATCGAGTAGCAGTAACAATGGGGAGCGCACGTGAGACTCCCATGAGTTTATTGAACTTTATAAGCAGTTTCCACCATTTTGGCATATAAAAAGTGAAGATTATAAAAATAGATCTCTTCAACAAGAATGTGATGGGAAATTAGTGGAAAAGATGAAAGAAATCATCCCTACTGCTACCAAAGCCTACTGCGACCTTGAAGTTATTTTTTAGCACCTTTCTTATGGCACTACATGTCTCCATTAGGATGTAACCAAGACTCCGAGCAGAAATGGCAGTTGTAAACTTTAAAGTCCTCAAAAGACTGGCCCGTTGCTAGGAACCGCAGTGTACTATAGAGTTTTGCTGGTATGGCATCTCTCAAGATTGTGTCCTCTTTTTTTATGTATAGCGTCACTTTCTCCAACAGTTCAACGAAAGTTTCATTCTCCATTCTCAAAAAATTCTTATAATCTTGAGATGATGCCACTGGTTCCTTTAATAGGGCGTCGTGAGAGAACTTGGGTCTTTTTCTGTGCCATTCCTTCATCCATAATTTTCTTTTTCGTTGTTTCTTTGAAGTCTCTGTTTCAAGAGCAAGTATAATAGCAATACAGGCTGCCTCCTTAATCATGCTGTCACCCATTGTTGAGGCGAAGCGTACCAGACACCAACTGAAGTTTGATCATTCTTTTTTTTCTTTTTTCTTTTATCCTCTTCACCACTGATCGGCTCATTAGCCGCTTGGGAGATCTGTCACGTGTGTGGCGATGTATGATGCTTGATCAAACATCATGTTTGACAAACATATTTGATAGTGTGTGTGTGTGTGTAGCTCGCTGCACACCACTACCACACACCCTAGCCATATTTATTGGGGGTGCGCCCCCCACACACTTTTTATCATTGTCTCAGATAACTACTAATTCCCCCCAAAAAATACACGTGCAAGAAAAAGATAAAACCAAATGTCAGCTGTAAAAAACTGGTTTTACTCTCCTTTATACGTTTCGCTTTCCAAAGTATATATATATATATATATATATATATATATATATATATATATATATATATATATATATATATATATATATATATATATATATATATATATATATATATATATATATATATATATATATATATATATATATATATATATATATATATATATATATATATATATATATATTGCTTACGACTGCCAAAACCTTGCTTCAGGTTCTCCCAGGAAGCCTGGTTCTCCAGTTTGTGCCTTCTGTGCAGGCAGTTATGAGTGTAGGCCATGCTCAAATAATACCTCACCCTGCTGTGCAAATTGTCCACTCTTGTAGTACCAGCCGAGTCAATCAAACATTTTGCATTAAATAAAGATTGCCCCATGATGACTTCCCAATAAAAAAATAAAAATTAGAACGACTTTACTTGTTCAAACAACTTGTAGTGCCCTCCCTGAGTCTATTAAAAGTGGGTGTGCTTAATATTCGTGCGATCCGAAACAAACTGTGTGATGTTAAACTCAGATGACAACACAGTGGAATTCCCCAGTAACCCTGCCTGGCACCCCTCGCCAATATATGCCCGCTGCAGCTCATCAGTAAGCCAGTCTTCCCTCAGCCACTTGCAACAAGCACCAAGCTCAGGCTTCTGGCTCAAGCAACAGGCCTTGTCCCTGCAACAACCCACTAGTGTCTTCACAACTACCTGACACAAATAACTTCCCTCTGCCACGTTTGACTGCCCCAAATAGTATACTGTACTACCGTCGTCAACAGACAAGGCCGCTTATCAGTTACACTAACATGAAGTGCTCTGCCCTGGTCTGCTGTTTGCTGGTGCTCAGCCTCAACGTGACTGCACAAGCCTTGGTAAGTCACGAGGTCACCTCGCTTTACACTTAACTTTACTGATCTATGTATTTATTCGGTTATACAAATTACTTACTTCAGATTACAATAATGCATGCACTTAATAGATTATACCAGTTTATATACTCATTAGGTTATAATAATTTATGTAATACTAAATGTTGCAGCAGATGAATTCTGTGACAAATTACGTACTGCAGTATTACTATTCTTTTTTATACATTATTATTATTATTATTATTATTGTTGTTATTATTATTATTATTATTATTATTATTATTATTATTATTATTATTATTATTATTATTATTATTATTATTACTATTATTATTATTATTATTATTATCATTGACAGCCAAACGGAGTAAGAAGTGAGAGCGACGCTAGCAGAGTGGTTGACGCTTCACCATATAACATCTTGGGCTTATCAATATCCTGCCGGAGATGTTATATCTTCAATCGCCACCTTAACACATGTGTGCCAAATATGCGGTGCATGTTCAGGGACAGGCGACGAGGGAGACACTAGAAGGCACCATGCACTCGTGAAGTCGGCAGTTGGATGCACCAATTCTCACCACTACATTGAAATTAACACACCAGCACTCACTCATTCTCGTAGATACAGTCGACGTATACAACAACAGTGGCTACCACAAAACATTCAAGCAGTAACCCAAGATAGCACAAGAAGATTGTACACGAACGTATTGAATATTTTATACCTATTTTATCATAAAATATTCCAAGATTCTCCCTCAAATTTGTACTAGATTCTCACAAATTCCTAAGATACTATTTGGTGTGGATGAAAAACACACATAGTGCAGTTCTTATACCAATTTCCCCATAATATTGTGAAATGCTGAAGTAAGCCACATTAAATTTCATTCGAAATTTACTAGTTAAGCTAGAACCATTATATTAGAGCCTTTGAGAATAGACAACCAAGTACTCACAACTGTGGGTTAATTTGAAAATTGGCAGCTCCCTACCTTACCACCGAAGTCACCTGTTCAAAATTACAACATAATAGCTCCCAGGCCACCAGTCAGGAATCCACCTAGTACAGTGGTTCCCAAACTTTTTAACATGAGGCCCCCTTTTGCCGCACCCTTGTCCACTACCTCCGAAGATGTCCCCACACACAACGCTTCCGTGACGCCTGCTGGACCACCACTCCACGACCCGCTGACGGAGACACGATGATCCTCCCCGTACTGGCCAGATATTATGTAAATAATATTGATGATGTGTTGAAGGAATATCCTTCCTTCCTTAGGCTTTAGTAAGCACCTTTATAATATTTATATTTCCTTGTGTCACTTGCCAGATGCTTCTGGTATTATTGTACAGGGGTACCTAGTGACAGCACTAGGATCCCGTTTCCTCTATCAAGGAATAAATATTGAAATTGGAAATTTAATTGAACAACAGTCAGACACTGCACCATACAGTGACTACAGTCACTACAGTTACTACACAGTCACACAACATCAACCATACAGCCTCATACGAACATAAAAATGGAGGAAACTGCAGCGGGCCTATTGGCCCATACTGGGCAATCCCGTTTACACCCAACCCCTATCGCTTATATATCCATCCAACCTATGTTTGAAGCTATCCAGCGTATTCGAGTTAATGATGATATTTGGTAACTTGCTCCACTCGTCAACTACTCTATTTCCAAACCAATGTTTACCTATTTCGCTCCTGAATCTAAATTTATCTAATTTAAAACCATTGTTACGAGTTCGCTCCTGGTTGGATAGTTTGAGTACCTTTGTAACGTCCCCTTTGTTTAGCCCTGACTTCCATTTATACACCTCTATCATATCGCCCCTCACTCTACATCTCTCGAGGGAGTGCAAATTATGATGCTTTAACCTGTCTCTGTACTCAAGGTTCCTAATGCCCGGGATTAGTCTTGTCATTCTCCCTTGAATTCTTTCCAAGGATTCTATATCCATTATGTAATACGGTGACCACAATTGAACTGCATAATCCAAGTGAGGTCTCACAAGCGCAAGATATAGTTTTAGGATGACCTTGCTAGTCTTGTAACTAACACTCTTTTGTATGAACCCCAAGTACTTTATTAGCCTTGTTTCGAGCAAATACACATTGTTTACTTGGCTTAAGATTCCTACTTATCATTACTCCTAAATCTTTCTCCCAGTCGGATTTCTCAATAACATCGTTGTTCATCTGGTATCTGGTTTCCCTGTTTACATCTCCTACACTGAGTACTTTACATTTGTCCACATTGAATTTCATTTGCCATTTTTCAGACCATTCGAAATTTTTTTAGATCTTCCTGTAGTTTTGCAGAGTCCTCGTCAGATTTAATTACACGCCCTATTTTAGTGTCATCAGCAAATTTACTTATGTTGCTGTCTACGCCGATAACTATGTCGTTTATGTATATAATAAATAATAATGGTTCAAGCACTGAACCTTGAGGAACACCACTAGTGACGTTGCTTCAATCGGATTTTGTGCCGTTAATGCTCACTCGCTGTTTCCTGTCCTGTAACCACGCCCTAATCCATTTTAGAATATCTCCTTTAATGCCATGAGCCTCCACTTTTCTTATTAGTCTTTCGTGGGAGACTGTCGAAGGCTTTGCTAAAGTCGAGATATACCACATCGTAATTGTGCCCCTCGTCCACTGATTCGAAAACAGATGAAAAGAATGTTAATAGATTAGTTAGACATGAAAGCCCGCTTGTGAAGCCATGTTGGGAATCATTGATCAGCTTGTGCTTCTCCAGGTGATTTCGAATAGTTTGAAATGATTGCTTCCAGTAATTTGCCTACAATTGATGTTAGACTGATTGGACGGTAGTCAGAGGAAAGTGGTCTATCTCCCTTCTTGAAAATCGGTATTACATTCGCTATCCTCCAGGATTCTGGTACTACACCCGTTTTTAAGGACATGTTAAACAACTTTGCTAAGGGCATACTAAGCTCTTCCTTACATTCCTTTTATACTCTGGCAAATATCTCATCGGGACCTGGTATCAGTTATTAAGACAAAATTCCTTCCGTATAAATACTGGTGCAATTTCTTTACTCCAAATATGATAGACAAAGCCTCTTTCTCTATTTGTGCATAATTTTTCTCGCTTTGGGTAAGAGTTCTCGAGGCATATGCAATGGGTCTTTCTTCACCGTTATCCATTATGTGACTTATGACAGCACCTAATCCATAGCCCGATGCATCACAAGCAAGCTTTAGTGTTCTACTGGTATCATAATGGACCAAAACATCAGTACTAGACAGAGCAGATTTACAATCTTCAAATTACCTCTGAGTTGCACTGTTACATTTCCATGGAATCCCTTTCTTTAACAGTTCATGCAGAGGGGCTAAAACTGATGAAAGTCCACTCAAGAACCTTGAATAATACTGTATCATACCCAGGAAAGCTTTCAATTCACTGACATTTTTGGAGCAGGTAAATTTACTATGTCTCAGCCCTTCAGCATTCACTTTGTAGCCAAGATAAGTTACTTCTTTAGCTAGGAATGAACATTTGCTCTTGTTGAGCCTGACATTGTGTGCCAGCAATCTTTCGAATATTGTGGCTAGGGTTTTGACATGATTTTGGATGTTACTGTCAACAATAGGGACATCATCCTGAAAACATAACACATTGGGAAGACCCACAAGAATTTTGTCCATGATGCACTGAAATAACTTTGGTGCACTTTTAACACCATAAGGTAACCTTTTGAACTCATTCAATCCTTTATGAGTGTTGATGGTAAGGTACTGTTGACTTTCAGCATCAACACAGACCTGAGCATATGCTTGGGACAAGTCTAACTTGGTGAAAATGGTTCCACCTGTTAGTGCAGCAAACAAATCTTGAGATGTGGGTAAGGGATATTGCTCGTCCTCAACAGCTTGATTAATGGTAACTTTATAATCACCACATAGTCTAACAGATTTATCAGCTTTAGGTACAATTACTATAGGAGCAGCCCAATTGCTCTTGGCTGTTTTCACAATAATTCCCTCACTCACAAGTCTGTCTAATTCCTTCTCAACCTCACCTTTCAATGCATAAGGAACAGGTCTGGACTTAGCATATATGGATTATGGGTGTAACATCTTTGTCACTGGTGATATGAGCTTCATAACCCTTTATTCCATCCTGTCCTTTAATAAATAAAATCTTGTATTTTTCAAGCAATTTCTCAAGATCTGGAACACTGTTACACATTCTAACACTAAATATCTCCTTCCAGTCCATCTCAAGTTCACACAACTAGTTCTGACCTAACAAAGTTGGTCTGTTCACATAACTAGCTATAATTAATAGCAACTTTAAATTCTGATTTTTGTACTATACCTCACACTCTAATTTACCTTCTGTGTTCAAAGTCTCTCCAGTATAGGTTCTCAACTTGACACCTGAGTCTTCTAAAGGCACATGCACAAATAGCTTCTCATACATATCTCTACTCATTATGGAGAAATCAGCTGCAGTATCCACTTCCATGGTTACAGTTGTGTCATTAATGCACAAGTCCAAATTATACCTGTGTTTAACTTTCTCTTCATGACTGGTGTAAATAGTAAACACATGGGCACTCTCATGAATACTGTTTTTCATTTCCTTCTCATCAACTTCAACGACATATACTCTACCTTTATCACTTCTGGCAGGGGCTGTAATTTCTTTCTCACAGGCAGGAGCAATATGTCCAATACGCTGACAATTGTAACATCTTGAATTTTTTAACTTACACTGAAAGCTTTCATGTTTCCCTAGGCATCTCTTACATTTTAAATCAGCATGTGTTCCTTGTTTGTGGCATAATTCTTCCTTTTAGCTACAGTTACTCTACACACTGAGCCACTACTGCCAACTGTTTCACTACCGGCATTGGGAACAAATTCTCTGGTGTTTTTCTCTGCTAATTCCATGCTTGTAGCTATCTGACATGCTTTTTCAAAAGTTAAGTTAGTGGTGTTCATTAATGTATTTTTATATTTTTTCATAATTCAGACCTATCACAAACCTGTCTCTTAGAGCTCGGTTCAAGAACTGTCCAAAGGTACAGTGAATGGATAACTTCTTCAAAGCTACTATATAATCACTTACTGATTCATCTTTCCCTCCATCTCTTGTGCCAAATAGGTAACTTTCAGCGATCTCAAGTGGAGCAGGATCAAAATGTTGCTTCAGAATCTTGGTAATCTGAATCAGTGAGGAGTCTTTTGGTTTGTCTGGAGCAAGCAGATTGACCAGAGTAAAATAAACATTAGCTCCTACCTCTGTCAAAAAGATTGCTTTCCTGTTCTCTTCAAGGGCCATCTTCTTATGAGCATCACCACTGTCGTCCATTAATTCATTTGCCAGGAAGAAGAAGTCCATTTTCTCACAATATGATGTGAAGTTCTCCTTGTCTCCATCATACTCCCCCACTCGTCCCATGTGTCCACTGACGCCAGCCATGGTTGCTCTCTTCACTTAAATTCTCTAGGTTCAGAGTAGCCTTCCCTTCAGTGGTCACTATCCTCTCTTCAAGGACTTCACCAACACTTTGTGAATCCCATCCTCGTCGCCAGTGTAGTATCTTACATGATTTAATGGGAGAATGAGAAGCCACATGCTGAGTCTTACTCCCAGCGTTTATTGTTGTTGTTATGAACCACGTGCCTAACACATTCGTGATTACACTGTAACGGGCCGAGTTTTCTCTTTTTAATAATTTACCATATAGATATTATTTTTC